AGTGACTCATTATGCATATGATTCCATTCATAAACACTCAGGTTCATCTCGCTCTTGATCCCTACCATAAGACCATAGCACACCAAATCGTTACTATCACCATAGGTAACGCTTCATCGAACCCCACCTGAAACCGCCTACTCGCTCCCGGTCCCCAACATAGAACAATAGCACATTAAAATTGATCCGAAGTACGTACGTCATGGTGCATAACTCTCAACAACATGCATTTTCACTAAAAGGTTCACCAAAAGAATCATCAAGCACATGTTACCATTTATACACATCATGACTCACCATGTGCAACAATTAATCAATATTACAATGTCAATAAACAACAAAAAATAGCAGCAACTGAATAATGGTAACACCATATGCATTCATTCATGTTACTTCACCAAAATAAAAACACATCATCATATAAACATAACGATTCTCTAACCGATCATACAAATTATCACAAACATCCCTGTAGTAGGTAAATCACTACAACCCAAACATTCCACCAAACACTATTATGAGGTAGCTCTGCGCCTTAGATTTATAACGCTTCGAACAACGTCTCATTTGGAGTCACGAAACTCAAGTTACGTTAGAAAACATCTTGCTTGGTACAAAATCCAAGGAGCTGCTACGGCCCGTAGCACTCCCCAGGCTAAAGTCCCCCCATTTTAGGCATGCCTCTCGTAGAAAAAACCAGGGGGATGCTACAGCTACCCATAGTAGAACCCAAAAACCACAAACAAACCCATAGTAGAACCCAAAAACCACAATTTGTTTGCGATTTTGTATGATCGCTCTTGTTTTTCAGCCGTTCATCAGACTCCAAACCCCAAGTTTGGACCTCTAGCAGTCCTAAAACATACCATACATCATTGTACATGAAAACATATGGATCTTTTTATCATCTTTTAACATCTAAATCAACAATACATCTTTTACCTATGACTAACATGTAATTCATTCAATTCATGTTTACCCCAAAACCTGGTTGAAAGCATTCATATCTCAAACAAAAAATAGTACATATATAGGCATATGAAATTCATCATTATAACTTCCAACAACATCAAAACTTCATAGAAAATTCAGAATCAATCACATCCCAATTGTCCTAAAGAGAGTAAAGACCTCTCATCTCTACCATTCATGCAATACACCCATATTGGTAGTCTTTTCTCCCCCTTACCTTAGATTTTCAACAATTGATGATGAATCAAGCAACTTTTATGGTCTCCCTCTTCAAAATCCTAACCTTAGATTTTCAAGCAATTGATGAAATTACCTCACTAACCCTTAATTTTACTAATTCACAAAATTGCTCTAAATCCCAACTCCTTGCTCCCCTCCATTTCTCCAAATTCTTACAAATGGCCCAAAACTCATATTTTACAATTTTATTTAATTAATGCAAATAAAATACTATTTATTTTAATATTTAATTAAAATTTCCATAACTCCAAAAAAAAACTAAACTGAATCCCCAATCACACAACAATAATTTAAAAACACTAATTAATCAAATAAATTCAAAATAATTCAATTAAGTTAATTAGCAGAATTTGGGATGTTATATGCTACATAGTGGTATCAGAGCAACTCGGCCCGTTTGACCAGATTTGTGTAATTTTATCTATTTTCTGGTGTGTGAACAATATCGCACAATAGCTGATGCCTTGACACCTTTGGCTCAGATTTTTCAAGCTCAGCAGAATCCATATGTTGAAGGTGTTGAATCTTATGCAGTAGACAGATTTCAGAGAAACAAACCACCAACCTTCAAAGGAATGTATGACCCAGAGGGTGCTCAGGTTTGGTTGTAAGAGATTGAGAAAATCTTTCGAGTGATGGCTTGTACGGACGCTCAGAAGGTTCTTTATGGTACTCACATGCTGTTAGAAGAAGCAGAGTACTGGTGCAATAATGATAGACAAAGATTTGAGGCTAATCGTACTGTGGTAACTTGGGTTGTTTTCAGGGGCGCATACTTGGAAAAATATTTCCCAATTGACGTGCATGGCAAAAAAGAGATTGAGTTCCTTGAACTTAAGCAAGGGAATATGACTGTTGCAGGTTATACTGCCAAGTTTGAGAAATTGTCTAGGTTCTGCCCCCACTATAATGAGATAGAATCTAAAGACAAATGCATTAAGTTTGAAAATTGACTTCACCCAGAGATCAAATAGTTTATTATGTATCAGGAAATTCTTCAGTTTTTTGTGCTAGTTAACAAGTGTTTATCTATGATGAAGACAATCGCGTTAGACCCTCTCATTACAAGAGTGTCATTGATAAGAGAAGTGGCAATCAGAATTGTGAAAAGTCATATGTCATTCCAAATGGTAAGAGTAAATAAAAGTTTCAACAGAGGACTAATGGTGGGATGAGTCAAAGTGGGGGAAGTGCTCCTGCTTCTTTCAAATGTTTCAAATCCAGAGTACTTGGTCATTGTGCTTCAGAGTGTATTGTTTTGATATGCTTCAAATGTGGGAGATTGCCTTGGAACTTTCTTCTTTTATTTTTATTTATCACTTTTAGTTGATTTTCATCTGCTCTGGTCTATAACACTAGAAACAAGCGCGTTGTTTGTTTTGGAGTTTCTTTTGAAGTTTCATTTTTTTTATTTGGTGGTTTAATTCATTACTCGATGATTATGAGGATTATTTGATTTTTTCGCTGCGAGTTTGAAAATATATTTATGAAATGCGTGATTTGTGTAAAGTAGCATCATGAATAATACAATTTTCTCTTTTATATTAAGAGTCTGGGTTTAGGGTGTTACATCTATTAGAGCATTAGGGGCAGCATAAGGTTGTTTTCTGTCAATTGGAATAATTAGGGTCCTTTATGGATTTTCATTCTTAATTCGGTTCACAACATTGCAGTTCTGATTCTTTAATCATTTGTAAAATGGCTTCAGAACTACACTAAATTTTTGTTGTTGTTTGAAACAACCAAGACTTTTTCCTTTTGATCTTGTCTATGAGATTCTTCTTCGATTCGAAGAAAATAATCAGACTCTCAATTAAAATTTTTTTATTTTGTGATAAAGAAAAATTATTAAAAACTTTCAAACTAGGGATAATTTGTCAATAACAAAAACAATTTGAAATTGTTCATATAAAAACATACATTTAGTGATAATCTCATGAGAATCTTTTGAAGTTCGTTAAATTAAATTTCCATAGACCTTTCACCTACCGTCTAATATTTCAGGAAGCAGCTAAGAGCATACTTCTTTGCTCCAGCTTCTTCGGTGTCATATTTTTGTTTCCAGAGCCTCCCAAACATGTTTGGCAATATCGCAGTTATTGTAATAATCTTATTGATCATCTACGAATCCATTTAGAATGTGATAATCATTCTCTTTTTGTAGGGCGATTTCTTTCCTGAGCTGAAAATCGTTCTCTTCAATTTGCGCAGTAGATTCAGCTTCAATAGAATTAACAGTTCTATCTGACTCTATAGAATTCTTCCTGTTAGTTAGTTTGGTTGATCTAGAAGGGGCAACATAAATGTCATCAATCAAACATTGGCAACCTTTTTAAGGTTAAGAAAAATCACATTTTTTTTTGTCAACGTTTGAAGTGACTTCCCTCAAAATTGAACGGTTTGTTAGAGATAATGACAAAAATATTAATAATTTCTTCAGTAGCCATGACAGTTTGAAAACATCTTAAAATTGTTATTTACCGTTTTGAAAAATTGCCACTAAAGAAATTATTGGGTCGAGTAGCAGACTAAGTCACTCTCTTTAAGACGTTTCGCCGCACTACTCATAGTTATGCAAAGCAGTGACTGAAGAAATTATCGAGTTGAATCGCAGACTATATCGCTCTCTTTAAGATATTTTGCAACACTACTCAAAGTTGTGTAAAACAGTCACTCAACCACGGCGCCTCTAGGATAAAACAACTTTACTTTATTGACTTTTTGCGCAGTAGATAATCGGTAAAGAGTTACACCCTCTGATGGTACAAAGGTCATTTGAATATGGTATATGTACCACTCTTAGTATCTGATATAAAGACTAGTCGTAATAGTTTCTCAAATGAGAAGAAATTCAAATAATTCTCTAAAAATAATTCAGTAATGGTCATTTGACCACTCAAAATAATTTCTCAAACAAAGATAAATTCAAATAATTATAAAAAGAATCAAAAAATTAATACTTGATGATTTCTCACTTCAAACGAGAAAAAATTAAAATAATTTTCTAAAGAAAAATCATCAAAATATTCGAAAACTTCAACGAGTAGAAATAAAAGGAAAAAAATTGTCAATTCAATAAATTCAAAAGGTGCATAATTATGAGAGTGGAAAAGGAAAAATCAATAGAAATTTTTTGGTTTGTTTTAAAGTGAAACAAGTGATTTCCTTACGGAATGAAGTAAGCAAGCCAAGATATCTAAGCAAATTAATGTCGGACTAAGTAATATTTTCAACAAACCCTCAAACACGCTTATTTTTTCTAACGAAGTTTTGCAAATTCATCTCCTATTAAAATATTGACATGTTCTAACCGCAAGTAACGGGAGAGTTAATCCTTTGTGTCGGAGAAAACTTCGTAGAACTCTGGACAAGGACTTTGCTGTCTTTGCATGACAATAAGTTTGAAAGAAAAAAAAAACTGAATTTGAATTTATTTTTTCAAACTATAATTAACTTAAACTTATTATCAAAACCCCTTCTTCTAAGAACTGTTGACACACAAATTCAGGTTAGAAAATTCTCACCTTAGAATAAAACAAGCAGTAGGACAATTATTGTCTAGCATTAAAATCTAGGAATAATGAAGATCCAATAACCAGCTGTACAAAATTTGGTTCTTGAATGATAGTAACTCTGTTTGACATGACCATTACAAATCACAGAGTAGAATAACTATATGACAATGTTAAAATCTAAATATTTGCATGCACAAAGTTTGGTCCTTGTAGCACAAGTTTTGTAACCATAACCTTGAGCACAAAGTTGAAGTCAAACCAGCCATTTGTTCCTTATTTCTCGTCAACACAAGCTTCAAGAAAGGAAAAAAACTAAAGTTAAGATTACAAAAGAGTTATAAAAGAAAATCATGTTCAAAATGCACTTGAAATTCCTTCAAACAGAGTGTGACCTCACCTCAAGAAAGAAATAAAAGAGAAAATTTACAATTACGTATAAAGTTAGAGTTCAGAAGATTCATTACAGTGATCAAACAAACAAAATCATATACATTTTAATGTTGGTAAAGATGTGTTAAACAATTGTTATAGATGCCACAAAGTACTCATTTTACAACTCTGAGGACAAGGTTGGTTGTGATGAAGTAGGTAATGACATGACATTGGAGACCCAGACCTTGGCCAAACACAAGGGCGGCTACATTCTAAACTAAGTTTGTTAGCATTCTATTAGAGTTGTCGACGGCAAACGGCAGAGTATAGTGGAAAGCCAAAAATCTGCCATTTAAACAAGCCACTCTGACGATTGTCAAAAAATCTGACATGCCATTTCGCCATGGCTACCATTTAACAACACTACATTCTATTATTACTCTGCTATTAATCATCTTATTTCATACTGTTATATAGTCTTCTATCGGCTGATGAAATCATCATGAAATGAGAAATTAGTTTGATCCATCATATCATCTTCTTAGGAGAATTCTCAGCCCTCGAAGCTAGTGTTGTTGATGGCGGATGTCGGTCCATGTCAGAGAGCCAAAATCCAATCATACCAGCTGTTTTGCGGCACCATTATTGTGGATTATGGTGGAAAATCTTCAATATCAGCCGATATTTACCATTGAAGTGAGCCCAAAAACCGCCATAGCGCCACCATGGCAGATATTTGATAACACTGCTCGAAGCATAGTAAAATACATCTTCCCGTCTCTAAAACTTTGTTGAACACAGCACAAACAAGTAGTAGAAACAGGTCTTATATATCTTGGACAAGAAGATACTACTTTCCTTATGGAATTTTGTTGAACACAAGCACAAACAAACACAAACCTGCCTGTGTATGATACTGTTTTTATTTCCTAAACATAAGCAATAACATGTACTTATGCAGTCTAACACAAAAGGCCATTATCTAGAACCATATTTTGTTTAAGGGTAATACCATATACATCTGACGCGGCCAGAGCGGCTACGTCATAGCGGCGTCGTTCTGAATCCAATCCCATTATCACGGTAGTTCCACTCGAGCCACCCTTCTGTGACGGAACAACACCGCCTGACACAGTTTTCTTGCTTTTTCTGTTCCATGCCGAGATAACGGTTGGAATGGCCGAGTCTGATAACATACCCTTAAGTAGCCGACCGACTCTATCAATTCCTTTATGGCTCTAGAACACCTATACCAGAAACTTCAAACACTTTTGTTCATGGTTTTAAATTGCAGCCACCGCAATCTAAAGAATTGTGTGGTTCCACACCGGTATCACAAAGCAATTTCGACCACATCAGCCACATTTTATGCATTTTTCTACAATAAAATAGGTTCTCAGCAGCGTAACCGCAACAACAATTTAAAACCATGATTTGGTTATCAATTTCAACTCCAATTAACCCCACCAAAAATCATAGTCAATTGATCAAACATCTCATGAACAATAATCATACATAAGTCAAGATAAAAAATCAAAACCAAAACATCTTGATCAACTAATCAAAACTCACCGATTCCCTAATAGACCGTGCATGCAATTACACAATTGTAAAAGAAAAAAAGAAAACAAGAACTCAAAAAGGGGTAAAAGAGTTACCACCGCAGCAGAAACAACAGTAACAGCAAGAAAGAATCAATAGAAGCTCATGACATATGGAAGCTGCCACTCCAGTTTGGGGAGTGTCAACAACGTTGTTGTTGTCGTCTTCCAACAGTTTCTGTTGGGTTGATGATTGACGTTGTCGGTCCTTTTCCATTCTTTGGTAGTTCCATTCGAGGTTTTTAATGTAAGATAACTTGAAGGAGTCTCTGAGATTCTTTGTTGGCCAAAGATGCATCTCTTTCGAGTTTTGAATAACCTAAACAGTGTAATTGTTACGAAATGAAAGAAAAAGGAAAATACGATTCGGAAAAGCTCTACTTGTATTGAATTAAAATAGCGTATTTATAGGGAGTACATATAGGAAGAAAAAACCAACTAAGTATTTTATACTAAGTCAACAACTATAAAGCCAGTAACTACTAAACAAAATATAGTCAACAAGCTGCTAACTCAATAAATAAGTGAATATTAATAATAAAATAAATTTTAATAATAAAATAAATTTCTAACATCCTCCTTAAAATTGATATAGGCAGAAATCACTTTAGAATAAACTACTTCAACAATTCAACAACAATACTAAGGTTCCCCTATAGAGTGGATTCAAAGCATTCTTTTAGGCTTTATAAATCCAATTTACTTAAGTGGTTTAGTCTTGATCTTCACTTTTAGAGAACACTAAATCAATGATACCATTATTGTAAAGATCACGCAAAAAAAATAGTATCTAACATCAATATGCTTACTCCTTTCATGTAAAATTAGATTTTTTAAAATCTTGATTGCAATCCATGTATCGGCTGATTGAACTAACGACATACATGATATCTAGTCTTTTCGACATATGACTCCCAACAATTTGCTTGTACAAAGTATCATTCACTCTTTTTCATGCTCCATGTTTTGCAAGTTTCAAACCAAATTCAGTTGGAGTCAAAACTAGATTGCAATCCTTTATTTGGAACCTATCTAAAATTTCAAAGACATATTTCTTATTTGAAATAAAGATACCAACAGAAGATTGCACTACTTCAATGTCAAGAAAATATTGCATCAACCCTAAATCAGTCATATCAAATTCATTCATCATAAATTTCTTAAAATCATCAAGCATGGCTCTGTCATTACCAACACAAGTTAGGTCATCAACATACTAGCAAATTATAAGCATCTTCCCATCAACTCCAAATTTAGTAAAGAGTGTATGCTAATAAGGACATTTAAGAAAACCTTCATTAGCAAAGTAAGCATCTATACGACTATACCAAGCTCTAGGTGTTTGTTTTAGTCAATATAATGTCTTTTTTAACTTGCATACTTGATTTTCATGACCTTGATTCACATATCCAGGTGGTTGATCAATGTACATCTCTTGTTCCAATTTTTCATGCAAAAATCTTGACTTCACATCTAGCTGATATACCGGCCATGAATTTTGGACGGTAGTGACTAACACTAACCGAATAGGATCAAACCTTGCTAATGGAGCGAATTCTTTGTACTAAACACTAAATTCTTTTTTGTATCCCTTTGCAACGAGTCGCGCCTTGTACTTATCAATTTCTTCATTCTCATTCAACTTTGTCTTTTAAACTAATTTGACATCAATAGTCTTGTGTCTGTTTGGAAGATATGTCTGTTGAAAGTGTTTTTAGTAGGCATTTGTTTTATCATCTCCACAGGGATTGGTGTGATATTACTGTCGTTCTACAGTTTAATATGTTTTAAGCAAGGGTTTTAAAAGGGTTTTGGTTACGAAAAATTCCGACTGCAAGAAAAGTAATCAACAACGGCAAAGCGTTGAGGTTTTAACGGTCTAAAAAGCATAATACTAGATTTCGCTAACATAAACAGTACGTATTCTATTAATCGAGCATGTGAACTTATTGAAGGTTGAGAAACACAAGAAAGGGGGTTTGAATCGAGTTTCACATTTTTTCCCCTTTTGCGGAATTAGAAGAATAAATATAACAATTACAATAAAAATAAATGACACAATTATTTTTATTCTGGTTCACTGTTAACGAAGTTACTCTAGTCCACCCTTCAAGGTAATTCTGTCTTATCACAAGGACTTAATCCAATAATCATCAACGATTACAACCACAATGAATACCTTCCATTGCCTTCTTGAGAATCCTGGCATTCACTCGCCTCTCAAAGAATCAACCTCCAAGCCGTTAGAAACGACCTGTCCCTCTCAAGCATTCTAGTCTTCACTCGACCGCTCAAGGAACATCATCCACTAAGTTGTTAGAAACACACTTAGTCATCTCATGCATTCTGGTCTTCACTCAACCTCTCAAGGAACAACATCTTTTACAAGGATTTTCTTGTGCACTAATATGCTTCTTACAAGCTGATTACACAAATGAAGTACATGAACACCTAATTTTTTCTAAGCAATATATGAGCAACAACTCCTTGCTTTCTAATACAGAAAACTATCTAAAGAATGAATCTCTGAGAGATTATAAAAAATTAGTTATGTATTACTTAGAAGCTTTCTTGATGAGCACTATGACTTCTTTTCATGAGTTGTTATCTTCTTTCGATTAACTCCTTCTTGAGCATATAATGCTTCTTCCAGTTTAGCCACCAAGATCAACTAATTTACTATGCTTCACTTATTGATGTTTCACTTGACTAGTTTCATATGGCTTTAGCATGTTGCATCGCTGTACGCACTTCAGTAGTTTACTTCAACTTCTTCTTTATTGAGCATTCTTCATTTAAGCTTCAGCTTGTAGCATTTTCTTTAGCACTTTGGCTTTGCATAGCAGCGTATTACCCAATAACCAACAATTCTTCAAGCTTCTTGATCTTCAATTTATAGAGCTAGAGAGAATAGATATGTTGTGGGGTATTCTTGGAAACATATTCCAACAGCAATATCCCAAAGTTCACATGAAGGAATGGTCAACATCACTATACAAAAAGATGCTCTTGCGCCACCTTTTCGAGGTAGAGGTCATAGAGTTTTAGTACTATTATATTCAGCTTAAAACCATTCTTATCTTCAGTCTTCTAGAATCTTCAGAGGCTTCAAATATTAACTTGATGAAGCGTGTTGTAGAAGAGCCTTTTTTTGTGTACTCTTTAGAACCACAGTCTTTAGAATCTCAGATCTTCGTTTAGCAGAACCTAGTCAAAAGAATCTTCAGTACTTGGTTTCTTAGAAGCATTATCTTTAGAGTCTTTAAAACTTGTTCTATCAGAACCTCATCTTCAGAGTATTTAGATTTCATTAAGCACACTTTTGTCTTCAGAGTCTTCAGCACTTTGTTCTATCAGAATCTTGTCTTCAGAATATCTTCAGAACTTGATCTTTATAAATGATGTCTTCAGAATCTCCAGAGCTTTGTTCACCAGAACCATGTCTTCAGAATCTTCAGAGTTGTAATAATAGAAATCACATTTCCTGTAAAGCCTTCTAGGCTTACTTATAAAGTATCAATTAGAAACTTTGTTACTAATGTTCCTTAGAACCGTTGCATTAGAAGTATTTATGAATCTTGACTTTATCTTGTACACATATGTTTCCTTCCAAAGTATTGATAACAGAGTCTGATGACGTCACACGTCTTCCTATTAGAGTCAAAATCATATTGACAACAATCACACACTAGATATAAATCATATCATGTAGAATTATTCTCTTAGATAACATGTGAAGTTATCATCAAAACTTAATGGTCAAATGTATAACCAAATATTATTCTTACAATCTCCCCCTTTTTTTATGATAACAAACAATGCATTTTGATAAACAATTTGTATAAGGTAATCACCATAAATTCACAGGGTCGAAGATAAGCTTAACAGGCTCCCCTTGATTCTGTTACTCATAAAATTCATTTATGCTTATTCATAGTCTCCCCCTAATCCCACGACTCACGAAATGACTTTGAAGTAGAATCGTATCAGCAGAGAAGGATTACTTCTCAGTGACGTCTCATCAGAATCTGACTAGAACTGACTGGTCTTCATCTTAGAACCAAATCTTGCTATCAGAATATTGTAGACGTATCTGAACCCGATTTGTCTTATTAGACTTGATGTCTTGCATTATATATCAGAAACTAGTAGATACTTTCTTAGATGTCACGCATCATGTATCAAAACCAAATCTTCAATATCTTAGCACAGATCACCAACAGGTGCACATATCCTTATGTTATTTGATGTTTCAGAAACCGAATATTTTCTTTAATGACCATGACCTGATTTGATCTCCAAAAGATTTACATTCTTTCAAAACTGAAGTCTAGATACCATTTGAAGTTTGGATACCAATTGACTTTTAGATACCATTTGAATCAATTTGAAGCATTCTTTCAGAAAGTTAACAACTTCTGACAAATTTTAGGTATCTGCGTGAAACTTATGGATATCCTTTCTGGTTGTCCTTTGCTTCTGATACTTTAGTGGTCAATACGAGATATTCATATATTATCAATTAGCATTCTTCTTTCTTGTGCATGTTTTCTAATGATTATATCTTCTGATCTTTTGTACAAATTCTTCTGATATAATCTTCTTGATTATTGACTTTTGATGCACATCAGTTGCTTCTTGATCATATCTTAAAAATTGTGTATACTGGTAAAGTCTTCTGATCGCCTATTCTAAAATATAGTGAACTTTTGTGAAGTTCCTGATTAATTCTCAAACATATGGTTAGAAATAAACATATTTGCATTATATTTGGGATGAGATTCTTTAGATTAGATATAAAAATTATATATCACTTTCTCCCCCTTTGTCAGAAATCAAAAAAGGTATAAAAAAGAGATTGACAAAGTGAAATGAAGACTATTATAATGACGGAAAAAGAAATTTTATTAATATTGATATTGGTTACATAAAATTAAAACAACCAGAAGACAATGGTAATGAGCATGAAGAAACTAAAGCTAAAGGAAATTAAACAACTAGCAAACAAGATTACACAGACCACAGATATTAAAAAAAACTATCAAAACTCGCAAGGCCTAACAACTACTACTACTGTTCGACACATCAAAGCTACACCTAAAAATTCTCCAACTTATCAACTCTTTCACAACGCACCACCTCAGCTGCATTTTCTGGTCCAAGCCTCTTTGCTAACCCAACAAGCTCAACTTTAAATAAAAGTTCAGACATAATCCTTCCAAAAGGAATATAGGATTTATGCTGACTTCTGGAGATATCAATCGTATTCTTCAAATGATTGAAAATGGTTTAAGGCAG